CTCTGGCCGGGAGGGGCGTGGCTTCCTCAGCTCCTGGCCGCTTGGTCCGGACTCCTGGCGCGGCCACTCCTGAGCCCAGCCCCTGAGCAGTCTGAGGAGCCAAGACATTTCCAGAGAGAGATCCCACAGACCCCGCTGCCGGCCGCCCTGGAAGGCAGCCGCTCCTTACAAAGGCCCAGACCAGAAGCAATGGCAGTGGTAGGACTCCCCCCTTTTCTCCCGGCTGCTGGGAGCTGGTCTTAACACTGAAATCACAGCTCTTCACCCCACAGGCCAGCGCGCACTCATTACTCTCCTAGGACTTCCTCCGCTCCCCCTTCGCTCCCTTCCCCACCCCACACGCCTCTCCTCTCGTTTAGGCAACTGTCTTCTCAAATTCTTCCCTGGGAAACCCCTGCAGACACCATGCGAATGTCTCCTTGGACCTCACCGTGGCCCCACAGGAGGGGTCATCACAACCTCCCACTTCCTAGATGGCTTGTCCCGGCAACTGGAGAAGCTGGGCCCGGCCTCCAAAGACTGGATGGACTCTTTTTTTGGGGGGCGGGGGGGGACTGTCCTGGGACCCTGGTTCTTAGCCTCCCTGTCCCATGTGGGGCCACTTGGCCCGTTCTGACCACCCTACCTTGAGTGTGTCCCCCTTGTTGAAGGCCAGTTCATCGCTCTCTGTGGCCTGGAAACTGTACAGGGCCACGGACTCCATCCTGCTGCCCCTGGTCCCAGCAGCTGGGCTCCGTGTGAGCGAGCGAGCGAGTGAGCGGCGGCGGCTTCCTGCTTCCTCGCAGTCAGGACTGTCTTCCTTTGTTTTGAGGGCGGGTTTGTTCTTTTGAAGCTGAGGCTGAAACTCCCCTGACAGGGAGAAACAGGAAGCAGAGCTGTGTCACCCAGGAGGGGTGGGACCCCAGGCACAGGCACGGCCCTGGGGGTGTCTCTGGGCGGCCCTGGGGGCGGGTCTCTCCCTTGTACCCCGGTCACAGAGGATAAAACTGAGGTCTCCAGCGGAGAATGCTGCCCGCCACCCGCCAGCTCAGGCAGGTGTCTGTGGTGCCAACCACTCCCCGACTTCGCCAACCTGTCTGCCGCGTTTCCTAAACGCCCGTGCCTCCATATGATTCTCCCGTGCCCACTGCATCCACCCAGGCTCCTTTCCTGGCTTTCAAGGCCCTTCCAGACCCCACCGCACCCCACGGCCACCTCACACCTCTCCACACTCAGTTACTCACCTTCCCTCTATTTTTAAAAAAATATATATGTATATTTATTGATTTCAAAGAGAGGACGGGAGAGGGAAAGACAGACACATCAATGATGGGTCAAGCCCGCAACCGCAGGTACTGCCCTGCCCTGACCCGGAATTGAACTGTGACCTCCAGGTCGATGCTCAACCACCGAGCACACCGGCCAGGCACTTTAAATAACGATAAAGGCAGTGTTTTCTAAAATACATTGCATTTTCAAAATTGAGCTACCAGCTGCTAAAGTGTGTATACATTTTTGGAGGATACCCTGTATAGACAGAATGAGTTTATCTATAAAATGAGTATATTTATATTAATTGAGCAGACACCTGTATATATAATGCGTGTGTGTGGAGTGGACACCCGTATATATGTGAGTGTGTGTGTATATATATTCTCCCCCTCACCCTCCGCCCCTCTGGCTTTGTCTGCAGAGAGGGTCTGGAAGCAATGGCACCTCCACAGTAAGAAGCGCACCCGCACCGGCTCCATCCTGGTTTCTAAACACCGTCCTCCACTAAGAAGACCACCCTCCATCTCTTTGGCGAGATGGCTGGTTCCAGGGCTGGGGCAGGAGGGTCCTGGATGAGCCTGGAAGTTAGGAAGTGCTCAGGGGACAATGGGAACTTGTCCAAATGACAAGGAGGCAGCTTGAAGGGAGTTCCGGGCCACAACTGGGACAATAAGATGGCCAGGCAGGTGGAGCTGCCCAGGAGGGGAGTGCCAGGCCGTGGCTCGGCCCATCCTGCAGCCGCTGCGCGCCTCTCCTCCCAGCCCCTCCCTGTCTTCCGCCCGCCCCAGACCCCAGAGTGACAGGATGTGATAATGGGGCTCTTTCCGGCTCAGTGTCAGCTGAGGTTTCAAAGCCTCAGAATGGTACAGTTGGGGGAGGGGTTGGGATCCACTCTCCTCCAAATCTGAGGTGCCTGAGGCAAAAGTGGGGCAGGCTCCCTTTCCGAGGGTGAGCACCTGTCCTCCGGGGCTTGTGGACCAGGTGGCCAGTTTATTCTGTTTGTCAAAGTGCTTATTCTGGGCCAAGCCATGCATGAATGGGTGAGTAGCTCTCTCAAGGGCCTATGACTGGTGAGTGGCAGGACTGGAGTTCAAATCCAGGCCAATCTGAGCCCAGGCCTCTGCCTAGCCCCTGTGCCACATGGCCTCAGCCTGGGCTGCTTTTTGCCAAGTGGGTCAAGAGAGCTGTGTGGGGGTCCTGACCGATGTGGCTCAGTGGTTAGAGCGTCAGCCCAGGCACGAAGGACTTGGGTTCAAATCCCCGTGAAGGGCACATACCTGGGTTGCACGTTCAATCCCTGACCCCAGTCAGGATACGTGTGGGAAGCAATCAATCGATGTTTCTCTCTCTCCGTCCCCTCCCTCCCTCCCTTCTCTAAAAATCAATGGAGCCCAGCTGGTGTGGCTCAGTGGTTGAGAGTCGACCTATGAACCAGGAGGTCACAGTTCG